TTACTGGCTTCCTCAAGGGAGGTTGCACAACGCTCCGCTTAGACATCATTGTTTGGGATACCTCTGACCTGCTAAAGTCAAAAACTCCTTTATGTTTACTCTTTACGAGGAGCAGAGTCATTAAGAAATATCCCAACTAGTAGCACTTGCAAACAATAACCATAGCTGGCAAGGTTTTTTTTCTTTCTGCCTTTTTTATCCTTTCCGACAGGGGTTCTAACTTATAATAATAAAGCAGTTCATTTCAGGTGCGCTCTCGTAATGATACGAACAGTGTAGCGCACCAGTGTCACAAATGGCCTCTGACATTAGCTTGTGGCTATGGCAAAGCTTTACCATCCAACAGGTATCTGGCATCACAGCAGGAAACGAACGAAGGCTTCGATATGACAGCTGCAATGATTGCTGTTTGTGGCAGTGGTTGCGACGGAGCTGCTTGTGGAGCTTGCGGTTCATGTGGTATGTGAACAGATTTTGTTGATTTGATACGGCTAAAAAAACAGCTTAAAAAGCAAAACCGTTTCGTTACATGGTAGCAACATCGAAGGTTTCAGACACGGCATGAGCAGCTTTTCATCAGTAAAAAAGATATGTTTAATAGAAGGAGAAAGTAGGCTTAGAGAAAACGAAGTAAGAGAGAAGGAACAATATTGGTACTGTTTGCCTGAGTATTATTCATACTGTTAAACTAGGAGGCAAAAAACTTTGAAGTGCTTTTCAACTCCTAATGAATTATTCCCTGAACAGATGATTGATTTTGTCAAGAATGTCAAAACTACCCTGGCAGTTGGTGTGGGTATCTCATATTAGTAATGTTACTGGTATGCTGCTATGAGTGGTGGCGCGATTATGTCATAGCTGCGTGCTAACCATAAGTATCCAGCACTTCTATTCTACGGTTTTACGCACGGAATTGATCAATCTTTTTTACCGTGGGTAATTCTTAATTCAGAAGTTTGCTTAAGATGCAAGCATACTTAGCTTTTAGAGTTTGTTTCCCCCTTAGATTTCTCTCTCTCGGTTTTAGAGTTTTTATGCGTTTTTGCTGTGCAACGCTGTAGCACTGCAACAGCCAGCAAAAACGCAAATTGTTGAGAGGCTGTATGTGTGTTCGGAAGTGAGTGCATTTTGTCACCCACTTTCATCTCAGCAACCAGGAAAGCTGGGAGG